CCTGGACATGCAATCGAAGCGTTGGACATGCAATCGATGCGTTCTGTGTATGGTACAATCTACGCGCTACACCAGACGTGGTGAAAGCTACGTCGTGCAGGCTGTGTGGTGCAGACTGCGTGGAGCCATCAGAGCGGTACAGGCTGCGTGGTGCGAGCGATGAGGTGGAAGCTAAGGGATGAGAGCTGAGTGATGCAGTGATGCGATTTCTGTGCTGCGATCGGCGTGGTGAAGGCCGAGCGCTGCACGCTGTGCGGTGCGGCCGCGAGGTGGCCACCGGCGGCCACCCAGGCGACACCCGGGGGCACACCCGCCCAGCGCACGGAGCGGCCACGGAGCGGCCACGACTGGCCACCGACCGGGAACCAGGCAACACCCCGGCACACGTTTCTCGTCGGCGGCGAGGCGGACGCAAGCCGCACCAGCGTGAGGCTCAACGGGGGCACCGAAAAGCGCACTGCCCGGCATGCGAGAGGAGGGGAAGGAAGGAGGAACGGCCGCGCGAGGGGGGAGGCGAGGGCGGGGGGCACTCAGACGCGGAGTAGTTCCAGGTCGAGCGGGCCGGAGCGGCCGGCCAAGGCGGTGGAGTCGCAGACAACACCCCGACACACCCATCCAGGTACTTGAGAAGACCTGAGCGTAAGCACTGTTTATGGAAGAACGGTCGGTATTCCCTTCCAGGCGTTACAAACACAGGGTGGCCAATCGCATGGTGACACCTTCGGTGCGGCTTGACTTGAAACTTGCTACAAATCGCACCAGCCCTTCAGGGCGTGAGTGGTTTAGCGAGTTTCCTCTTCCAACTCCATTCTTCGCCTTCGGGGAGGGGTTCATCACTGATCTCTATTAATAAACACCCCCTCCCCCAGGCGACCAGCAGCCAACAGGACCAATGCGGGTACCCGCCACCACCATCCCTATCAAAAACCAACATACAATGATCGGGGGGTCGCGAGCACCTTGTATTTTTTTGGACAGGGAAGGCGGGGCTTCCCGCATATTGCCTGCTGCGCGCAGGGCCAGCATCCTTGTCAAAAGCAATACAAGATGCACTTCGAAACAAAATATCTGGATCATGCGCGGGCACCCCGCGATCACTGTGCATTGGTTTTGACTGGGACGGAGGAGGTGCTGGTATTGCCTACTATGTGCAGGCCCACGAGACGCTATGATGGCCTCCCCGCCGCGACTGCGCACTGGTTTACGACAAGGGTGGTGGGGGCCGACACGTTTCCCGATGTGTACTGCCACGTGCGCAGGCGCACCTGGCACACTCTGCGCGTGCCCGAACGTGGCGCACCTGGCGCGTCTGGAGTATGCGGCACACATCGCGCACGTGGATCACGTGGGGCGTCTGGCGCACCACATGCCGGGCACGCTTGGGCCACAGGGGTGCCTGGCGCACCTCGCCCCAGCGTTGCGCACATGCGGTCTGTTTTGGCTCCCATTAGCTGTCCATCCAAAGACTATCGCAGAACATGCTAAGGCTCGGGTGCTCCTTATGTGCTGGGAGGGCGGGTGGGAGTGAGCGAGACGGCTTGCGGGCGAGGAGGGTGTCTTGACCCCTCCCCCTACCCCCTCCCACTGGGTTTGGAGGGGGCTTTTCGCGAGACGTTGGAGCGTCGAAGATGGCCTCGGCGAGAAAACCCAAATCATTGATTTGACTAAGCTTTTGGCCACATTTTGGCCTCCTGGGGGGGACCCAAGACGCCCCAAGAGGCCTCGACGAGAAGCCCCGCATCACTTGTTTTACACCAGTTTTTGCCGCATTTGAGCCTCCGATGGGAGGGGACCCAAGGAAGGAGCCCCCTTCCTTTGATTGATCTCTTCCAAGATAGCCCCCGAGGCTCCTAGGAGTACCCCAAGACGGCCCCAAGAGGTGCCCAGGAGGCCTCAAGAGGCCCCCACGAGGCCCCCGAGATGCCCCCAAGAGGCTCCCAAGAGGCCCTCAAGAGGCTCCAAGAGGCCACCCAAGACGCCTCACGAGGCCCCCGGGACAGCCAAGAGACCCCCAAGACGCCCCAAGAGAACTCCAAGTAACTCTCGAAAGCAATCCGAAGAGACTCCGTGAGGCATCCAAGAAGCCTCTGGCCTTTCTGCTCGCCCTCCTCCTCCTCCTCATCATCCGCCTGTTCCTCATTGTTTCTCCTCCTTCCTCCTCCCTTCTCCCCCTCCCCCTCTCCATCCTCCTCCTCCTTCTCCTCCTCTTCCTCCTCGTCCTCCTCCCCCTCATCCGATCCCTCCTCCATCCTCCCCCTCTTTGGGTACGACGTCTTACCCTGCCCTTTACTCCACTGCATTATCATCCACATCCCTGATCAGGGCAATTCGTCTGGACATCGTTTCTGGATAGGCTGGTGGGTTTACTTTTTTGGTCAGCGGCCACGAGACGGCGGTCAGGTGGCAGAGGCAACGTCCAGGCCACGGGCGAGGCTAATTTGCTGCTGGTGGGTTTACGCGAAGCGTCTAGAACAGTCTGGACTCAATGGCGATCCAATTAAAACCAATCGAAGTTCACGTGCTCATTGAACCCCAAATGCATGACACCATGCGCGAACCACTCACTGTATATAAACCGTGCGCGAGTCAATTGCTGTTTGCGCCGCGCGATGCCTTGGGACGGTCTTGCGCATCCCAACACGGCACGACCATTGGCTTCGCATCTTCGCATGCTTTCCTTCCTGGGCACTCTGTGCACAGAGTAACTGAGTTGCACGCCGTTCGATCGTGTTGCTCAGGATCCAAATGAAACTCCTGGAGACGACCGAACATCAGGCATAGGCACAGCAACGACGCATCTATCTCGCGTACTCGACCCAAAACAAATTCCAACCGCGCGTGCTCAAGAGTCGTGACGAGAAGAGGGAAGGGGAATGGGGATGAGCAGAAAATCGCTCTTCGCCCTGCGTGGTGTCGAAACTTGCGCTCGCCGCATGCTGGTGCCAAACCCCACCCGGCTGCATGCACTACAACCTGCACATACGTTAACACATTGCTCGGCCGACCTTCGACTTTGCAGTGTGCCCCAGAACTCCCATCTGTGGCCTAGGTCGTCGGAGAGTATATCAGGGGTTCCCCGTGGGGCGCCTGCTGGCATTTTATGCCAGTGTATTGCCGCACTCGCTTCTAGCTCTGCTCACGTTCCAACTCCACTCGCTTCCTCTCCCGCGATGGCCCCGAACTCTGCCGTCGTCCCCGGAGGCCTGGCCTGGGAACGGCCCTGCGTCCCGAACCGTCTGACGGCCGCCGAGGCCTGGCACGGGCCCGCGGCCGAGAGCTGCAGCCGCGACGAGCAGCAAACAAACACGGCACACGCTGCGATGCTGCCACGACGACGGGCCCAGATCGGGATCGGCGGTCCCCGCGGAGGAGGGGCCAAGCCTTTGCTGCTGGGCGAGCTGGGGGCACACTGGGGCCCCACGGTCGAGGAGGATCCATCTAGAAACAGCTCGGGAGCCGCTCGGGCCATGTAAGAAGGGGTCCCGGATGATCCATATGATCCCCAGGGGCCCCGAGGACATGTCAAAAAATGAGAAGCGAGGGCGACAGGATGCCCAGGGGGAGTCCCGGGCGAAGACTGCGGGCCGCGACCGCCTGCAGATGGCAGCTGGAGAGCGAGGTGCTCGGGAGAGCCGCGCAAGGGGCAGGAGGCCTCCCCAGGAACAGCCGGGGCAGCCTCGGGCCAGGGCCACCATTGGCCTGAGGGGGCAAGGAAACGACGCAGGGGGAGGAGGATGAGGAGGAGGATGATGATGAGGAGGAGGAGGAGGAGGAGGAGGAGGAGGAGGAGGGAGGAGGAGGAGGAGGAGGGAGGAGGGAGGAGGGAGGAGGGAGGAGGGAGGAGGGAGGGAGGAGGAGGAGGAGGGAGGGAGGAGGAGGAGGAGGAGGAGGAGGATGAGGCGAAGGAGCAACAAGAGGAAATCGAAGAGTAGGAGGAGGAGGAGGAGGAGGAGGAGGAGGAGGAGGAGGAGGAGGAAAGGCAGCGGCGAGGAGAAGCAGAAGCAGGAGGAGAAGGAGCAACAGCAGGAGGTCGAAGAGGAGGAGGAGGGAGGAGGAGGAGGAGGAGGAGGAGGAGCACCCGCGTGGGGACTGACTGACTGACGCGCCCTAACACGGCGAGGTCCCCGAACTAGACTGACATCAAATTAAATCCAACGGATCATGCGACCCTTACCGGACACGGAAATTAATTGGCGACAGCATGTCTCCAGTTAAAGCCCACAAGGTCTTGGGGACACGGGTGGACTGAGGGTTGAACCTTGTGGTCCGCCCTGTCTGGTCCAACCTGTTTACACGACTCCAAGACGACCTCGTGAAGGTCTTTGAGGAGGTGGAGGCTGGGCTATCCCAAGTTCTGCTGGCCCGGGTGACCCAAGAATGGCCTTGCTCAGCCACAGCTCGGGCTGTTAGGCTGGTGGGGTGCCGTTGCAGATAACTGATCCAAGCAAGAAGAGACTGGCGATGGACTCTCGACCACTGCTGGACCGGGAAGGCTCGCAGAGCTCTCGAGCTGCGCGCTATGTATTGATCGGCGGCCTCTTCGGGCCACCTCGGAAACTTGAGCATCCAAGCCCTCAAGGTGTCTTGGGCCCCGTCGAGGCGCTCGGCAGTTGTTCGAGCCAGCATCCAAGCCGCGGCACGAGGATGCAAAATCGAGGCCGCTATATTATCGAGCCGCTTGGCCCGGACTGTAAAAGGAATCAGCGAGACGAAGCAGGAGGAAGAGGAGGAAGAGAGGAGAAGGAGGAGGAGAAGGAGGAGGAGGAGGAGGAAGAGGAGGAGGAGGAGGAGCAGCAAGAGGAGGAAGAGGAGGAGGAGAAGGAGGAGGAGGAGGAGCAGGAGGAGGAGGAGGAAGAGGAGGAGGAGGAGGAGGAGCAGCAGGAGGAGCAAGAGGCGGCGGCGGCAGCGACACCCGGCGAGGCACGCTGGAGGGCTCCGGGCTCCTGCGCGCCTTCCTCGCCCTCCTGTTCCTCTTCGCCCTCCTCGGCGCCTCCCTCGGCCTCGCGGCTATGCAAGGCGGTCGTCGTCGTCGTCGTCGTCGTCGTCGTCGTCGTCGTCGTCGTCGTCGTCGCCGTCGCCACCGCCGCCACCGCCACCGCCGTCGTCGTCGTCGTCGTCGTCGTCGTCGTCGTCATCGTCGTCGTCGTCGTCATCGCCGTCCGCCCCCGCCGCTGTGCTTGCCCGCCCTCCTCTCGTCGCGAATAGAACAGTGAGGGCATTGGAGCAGGGAGCACTGGATCAGAATTCCAGGGCCTGGTAGCTGGTGGAGCGCGCGCACAAGGGGGGGAGGTGAAAAATTGCCTAAAGGGGCCTTCTTTAAGGCCTCTTTTGAAGCCCTTGGCCCCAAAATCGGCCCAACAGGGCCCTTTCCTTTACCCCCCCCCCCATGTAAGCCAATCGTCACCACTACCACCCGCTCGAAAAAACGGCTGGCGGCGCACAGGTGGGTAGGGTGAGAGGGGAAGGCTTCTCAGAAGTAGGCTTGTTCTCGGAAGGCGCCAGCCCTACATCCACAGGGGAGACCCGCGCTTTCTACGAAGCAGCCTCCTTCTAAGAAGCCTTCCCCCGTCCCCCTTCCCCCCTGTGCGCGTGGCTGAGCCAAGCGTGGATTGGACATGGACAGCGCTGTCGCCAGGGGGTATATCACGGGCCCGTTCGCACCCAGATTGGGGGGATGTCTCAGGCGGTTTGCCTGCTTCGGTGCCCAACATCCTTTTCGTTCGGGGCAATTTCCGAGGATGTTTCAGGCGAGGCGACGGTTTCAGCACTCCCAAGGGTGGGTATATCACGGGCCCGTTCGCGCCCAGATTGGGGGGATGTCTCAGGCGGTTTGACTGTGTCGGTGCCCAGCATCCTTCTCTTTCGGAGCAGTTTCCGAGGATGTCTCAGGCGAGGCGCTGGTTTCAGCTCAGCACTCCCAAGGGGGGGCGCCAGGGGGTACATCACGGGCCCGTTCGCGCCCAGATTGGGGGGATGTCTCAGGCGGTTTGCCTGTTTCGGTGCCCAGCCTCCTTCTCTTTCGGAGCAGTTTCCGAGGATCTCTCGGGCTTGGCGCTGGTTTCAGCACTCCCAAGGGGGGGCGTCACGGGTATATTTGGGGGGATGTCTCAGGCGGTTTGCCTGTTGCGGTGCCCAACACCCTTCTCTGTCGGAGCAGTTTCCGAGGATGTCTCAGGCGAGGCGCTGGTTTCAGCACTCCCAAGGGGAGGCGCCAGGGGTCATATCACGGGCCCGTTTGCTACCAAATTGGGGGGATGTCTCAGGCGGTTTGCTTGTTTCGGTGCCCAACACCCTTCTCTGTCGGAGCAGTTTCCGAGGATGTCTCAGGCGAGGCGCCGGTTTCAGCACTCCCAATGGAGGGGCGCAAGGGGATGCCTCAGGCGGTTTGCCTGTTCCGGTGCCCAACATCCTTCTCTTTCGGGGCAGTTTCCGGGGATGTCTCAGGCGAGGCGCCGGTTTCAGCACTCCCAAGGGGGGGGCCGCCAGGGGGGTATATCACGGGCCCGTTCGCGCCCAGGGGATGTCTCAGGCAGTTTGCCTGTTTCGGTGCTCAACATCCATCTCCTTCGGAGCAGTTTTCGGGCGCCGTGACCAGTGTTCAGTGGATAAGAAAGAGAAAGAGGAGGAGGAGGAGGAGGAGGAGGAGGAGGAGGAGGAGGAGGAGGAGGAGGAGAAGGAGGACAAGGAGGAGGAGGAGGAGGAGGAGGAGGAGGAGGAGGAGGAGGAGGGGGAAAGAAGGAGGAAACAACTAGTTAAAACCGTCGTAGTCGTCGGCGTCTCTCTCGGCTTCGTCTTCCACATGAATTCGCTGACGCTCAGATATTGGATAGGACAGTGCCTTCTACCGAAGAATGCCATCACTATGAGATGCACATATGGGGATCTGCGCGTCGAGTAATTGACTCTCCTCTTTGAGCCCCTGCTGGCCACCTCTTACTTCAATCGGTCCACGCTACCACCCGCCCGAAAAAGACGGCTGGCGGCGCGCACAGGGGGGTAGGGGGAGGGGGGGCAGGAGGCTGCTTCTTAGAAGGCGCCGGCCCTACATCTGCAGGCAAGGCCCGCGCGCGCCTTCTGAGAAGCAGGGGGGCTTCTAAGAAACCTCCCCCGCGCCCCCCTACACCCCTCTTCGACTACGCGCAAGAGTGACCCGAGGCAAGAGGGACCTCTGGTGTGACTACCTACCAGACCACCCCAACCCAACCCGAAGACCCGAATTTGACCCGAATTTCGGGTTGGGGGGGGTACGGATACCATGTGTTTTTTCAACGTTCCCCGACCCCCCCCACTGGAAATCGAGGATAAATTTGGGCCTTCGGGTTGGGTTGGGGTGGTTTGGTGGGTGGTGATGGTGCGCGGTTGCACGGGCGGCGCGGGGTGGCCAGGCCCGAGCGCGGGAGCCGATGCTATCGCATCACGCTCGGCGGTCGGAAGGCTCAATTCGGGGATGGACAGACCCCCCTTTAGTAAAACGTGGTTTAGTGAAAACGACCTGAGGCCCAAACCTGGCGGGCGCAAGCCTGGAAAATGACGGCCGCGGCGCCCTCTCGAGAACCGAAAACGGACAATTCACTAATCGACGTGTCACTGTTGGGGGTTCTGTCCACCCCCGATCAATGGGCCCGCACAAAAGGTCACTCCGGCGAAGGGTCGCCCTCACGTGCAGTCGACCTCTGCGCGTGGCCGAAGACGGCTCCGGTTGAAAAGCCGTTTCTGGGGGACGGGTCGAGACCTCCGGGAGTCCCCACTGCAGGCGTTGGGAGTCTGGATCCTCCCCCGCCCAACCCGTCCCACCCACTCCCCCCTCCCTCTCTTGCAGGAGGAGGCGGAGGAGGAGGAGGAGGAGGAGGAGGACGAGGAGGAGGAGGAGGAGCATCCTCGTGAGCTTCCATATGCTAAATGTACTGTAGGGTTCCGCCGCAGTTCGCGGTCCAGGCACAACGAGGGCTAAGCTGAAATGGATGGTCCCAAATCCATCAGCCAGGACGCCGAAAGGATAATGGAGGCAGGGACAAGGGTGCAGGGACTCCTTCGCTCCTCACCTCTCCTCCTCGTCGTCCTTTTCTCTTCGGTCATTTCTCCACCAGTAGTCCACCTACAGACCTTATTTTTGTGGCGTAGGTGTATCAATCAATACCGTGTTGTTTGTCCCCACGCGTGTAAGAATTTCGCCCTGCACTGATGGAACCAGCGGAAGCCAGGACGAGGACCCTCTTCCCTCAACTCCCCCCTGAGCACAGGCTACGGACGCTCCAAGGGATGCACGAGCACGCCCTCCCCAGGCCAATCGGAGATGCTTCTGGAGCCACTCGGCGCCCCATCGCGCGTCCATCTGCACGAGCCATTGGTGCACGCTTGGGGGCCTGGGCATGCCATGGCTTCCAGGACACGCGGCACCATGAGCTCATCAAGACAGCCAGTTGTATGCTCGGTCTGTGGCTCCCTCGCGGAGGCGCCAGCCTGCCCGTGCGGTATCTGTACTATGAGCTTGGTGTATATCAGGCCTTGCACCACATCCACCAACGCCAAGAGAAGCGGCCGCAGCTGCGAATCCTGCTGCGCGCTGCCAAACCAACACTCCAACAAGCCATGCTGCATCAGCTATATGATGCCACCTTCTGGCACCACTGCATTCTCCAGATCCATCGAAATTTATTAGCAATTGGCCCACAATTCGAAAATCATGATTTATTGCGTTGTGCGTTCTCCACAGAAAAGCACATCCGGTACCTTGGCAAGGCTAAGATGTCGCGCACAACAAACAAAAACGAACCAGCTGGGATGGCGCAACCAGTCGCTTCCGAGAGCACCGGTGTGCCACGTAAAAGGGAGCAGGCAGTCAGGAGCACCGACCCCCTCGCATACGGAAGCACGCAGAACATCCTTCGTTTTGCGACGCGATGCGTTGATATCCTACAACCGCCCACACAGCGCAGCACTGGCAACCATCAGCCGTCCATTCATGGACAAGAACGGACTCCCCGTCCGCTCCCCAGGTTTCGAGCGCAGCTGTCACGGGAGAGAGAATGTGGACTTGACGTGATCCGATGCGTTCAGAATGACCCCCACCTTCGGAAGAGGTTTAACACCAAGCGCGTGTCGTTCGATATTATGGTTGAATGGTGTGATTCAAAATTCCTCATTCCTCGTAAGCGTGTTGGAGATTTCATGTATTGCCGAGGATTCGAGCCTTGGCTCGCGATCTACCTTGTCCAACCCTCCCATCGCCTCCAGCATTGGCGCATGTGGGGGCCACGCACGCTCGGCTGAATATTCTCTGGAGGTGTGGCCTTGGGCCGAGCAGCCTCCTAAGAAGCAACGCGTGCTGGTGCGCAGTAAAATTGAAAGGTTCCCGTCGACAAGAAGCCTGCTCCCCGCTCGCGCGAACGCCATATGCGCGCCGTGTAGTAGCCCAACAGTGTTACGCAAGGTGCGATGCATGTTTCGAGCCTGTTTTTCCCGCGCATGTCAAGAGCAACCGTATATGCATGCGTTTCTTTGCGCAAAAAAACATGCATCTGCGGCGCGAAAGTCCCATCGCATAGTGAAAAGCTTACCGATCAGTTCTCCACTGCTGGTCGGTTTTCGTTTGCCCTATATCAGCAGATAAACTGATCCCCACTTCAGGCATCGCCTTTCTCCTGATGTCTTCAGAAGCGACGTGTATGGGAATATCCCGATGCCCTTCTCCCCGTTTCTAGTGTGGCAGCATGTGCAGCGAGCCATCTTCTGCTATCTTGCATCATGCCAGTTTGAAGGGCGGAAAATTCGTGAGAACCTCCTGCGTGCTCGTTTCGGTGCCATGTTCCGCCCCTCCCTCCTCCGGCCGTCCCTGCCGATCCCGCTTGAGCACCTTTGCCAGCAACTTCGGACTGGCTTGCCTGAGTGCGCGTGGATCGGCGTTGATATGGATGCGCGTAGGAGGGTGGGAATGCCGTGGTTTCGTTCTATTGCACAGCTCGGAGACACTTTCTTGGCAGACCCCGAGCATTATGAATAC